GAACATCAGCATCCGGCTGGGTTACTACAGCCACTTTCCATTCCTGAATGGAAGTGGGAGCACGTGACTATGGATTTCGTGGTGGGGCTGCCACGGACGATTAAGAACTATGACGTCGTATGGATCGTGGTTGATAGGCTCACGAAGAGTGCACACTTTTTACCTATCAACACCACCTATGCACTGGAAAGGTTAGCCAAGTTGTATGTGGATGAGATCGTGAGGCTACATGGGGTTCCCATAACCATTGTATCCGATAGAGATCCGCGATTCACATCACGATTTTGGCCGAAGTTCCAAGAATCTATGGGGACAAAACTGAAATTCAGTACAGCTTTTCATCCACAAACGGATGGACAATCCGAGCGGGTTATACAGATATTAGAGGATATGCTGAGAGCTTGTGCATTGGAGTTCCAAGGGAGTTGGGACAACCATCTGGCACTTGTGGAGTTTGCCTATAACAACAGTTATCAGGCGAGTATAGGCATGCCTCCATACGAGGCACTGTATGGGAGGAGATGTCGTACACCTTTGTGTTGGGACGAGGTTGGTATGGCCAAACTCGAGAGCACGGAACTGGTGGAAATCACCAAGTCAAAGGTAAAAATGATTCGTGACAGACTTAAGGCGGCACATGATAGACATAAGAGGTATGCCGATAAGCGCCGAAGAGCCTTAGAGTTTAAGGTTGGGGATGAGGTATTTTTGAAAGTTTCACCTTGGAAAGGAATCATCCGATTTCAGAGCCGAGGGAAACTCAACCCACGCTACATAGGGCCATTTGTAATTCTTGAGAGAATTGGGGCCGTAGCATACCGATTGCAGTTGACTCCGGAATTGGAGAAAATACATAATGTATTCCACGTGTCTATGCTTAAGAAGTATATTCCGGATCCATCTCATGTACTAGAGAAACCACCCGTGGAAATACGGGAAGACTTGAACTACGTCGTGCAACCGGTAAGGATACTTGATAGACAAGTAAAGAAGCTAAGAAGAAAGAAAGTTCCAATGGTTAAAATCCTTTGGAAAAGCGACCGAGTTGAAGAAGAAACTTGGGAGACTGAAGCCTCGATGAAGGAGCAGTACGCATTTCTGTTTGAATAATCGATTGTGAATTTCGGGGACGAAATTCCCGTTAAGGGGGGTGAACTTGTAGCACCGTCCCCAAGCATATTTACTTTTAGTAAATTATGTAATAAACCTTGAAAGATGATTTATGAATTTACGTAATTGTTAAATTTTATTATTTCTTTTACGTGAATAGTAAATTGCATGTGGGGCCCACGGCGAGAGCGGGGGCCGCCCGATAATTCCCGAACCACATGTTATATTCATCTTGGTCTAGATGACATATATATGGTTGTGGATATTTTATTTGGGCCATAAGAAAGGCATGGAGTTGACCGGTTGGTCAAACGGGGCCCAATTACCGGTATTGGTAATTTAGCGGATACCAGCCCGAAATGAGTTTCGGAGACTCCTAAATTAATGTTGGGGAATATACATCTATTCTAAAGGCCCATAATTATTAGGAACACGTGATATATTTTATTTGGCCCGATAAAATGAAATATGATTAAAACGGACCGAGAAATACAACTTTCGGGGCCGATTGTACACACCGGGACATAATGGGATGACCTCCCACATGAGTGGGGGCCACCCCACGTTTTTATGTGTGTTAGTTGGCTGAGTAGTACGTAGGAGGGGGTTGAGAAGTCTCCATGAGACAAAAACACATGCCCCATGTCCTATCCTACACTATATGGTGATTGGGAGGGCATCTTTCACCCACCTCCTCACAATAATTCGGCCAACTCTGAGGGAAAGTGACCACTTGACTGAAAAGGGATAGAAAAAGATAGATTATGTTTTCCCTCCAAGTACCATTATATGTCAAAGATATAGACATAGTATGTACTCATATTAAAGAAAATGAGAAATCTTAGATACTTTGAAGTCATAATTGAGATAAAGAATCTTGGGAAACTCAGGTTGTTTTGAAAACACCAAGTTGGTTGAATAATAATTCACCAGATGCATATATCCAAAAGGGTTCTCAGACAAATTAATATGGATAAATGTAAACTGTTAGCACTCCCATGATCGGTCGAAATATGGATGCTAGAAAATATATCCATTATTGGAAAATTATTGGGAGAAGGAATTTCCTATGAAAGTGCAATATGCGCATGATTGTACTTTGACAAACACATTCGACCAAATATTACATTCTCAATAACGTGTGAGCTAAAAATAGCTCAGGACCAACACAACGTATATCGTCATTGGAATAATATCAAGAATGTACTTTGATATCTATGTCAAACCATTGGCGTATCTTTAGTCACCCCTTTTATAAATTAATTAAATGATTGATGATACTAATATTTCTAAAGGAATCGGAAATGTCAAAAGTATCACTCTAACACAAAGTAACGTGATTTGAGTTTTACCGATGATGGATATCCCCTTATCTCATTGATACTTTCTTAAATGAGTATATATCTACCATGAAAGAAACCAAGATATTATATACGGAATACCTTGATAAAAACTATATATCAAGTATATATCGAATTCTTATTGATGTGTTGCATTCAGAGGGAGTCCTTACATACTTATTTATCATCATTTATATTGGTGCGTTGTACTCTTTTTCTTTTCTCCCTTTGACAAAGGTTTATTTTTTCCCATTGGATTTGGTTACTTGGTAAAGTTTTTTTATGAGACAACACAATATGCACCATCCAACATTTTAATTTTGCAAAAGTAAACAATGTTGAAGAAAGAGCATAATTACTATATCGCAGTCAAAAGTAATTGACGTGTAGGTTTTAGTGCACCATACTCCCTTTTCACTTTGACCGATGTTTATTTTTCCCATTGGGTTTTGTTCATTGGCAACGTTTTTGCAAGTTAATTTGGGAAAATTCCCTACGCTTGACACACAGGGTGAGAATTAAAGGAATTATATTCCTCTGTTGTGTGCCTTCGCTAAGGTAATTGATGTGACAAGTATTGAAATGCACATATTTTACTAACACCCTTGTTCAATGTAAATATTAAGGGTAAATGTAGACTTGAGGGGGAGTACCCCGATTACATTACATTACACTCTTTTCCTTTAACCAAGTTTTATTTTTTTCCACTGAGTTTTGTTACTTGGTAAGGTTTTTAATTAGGTAACGATACATATAAACTTTAATGATCAAAGCAAAGATCAAATAAAGATAGACTTAATGAAAGAAGCCTATCTTGATGTTATACTCCTTTTTCTCCGGTCAAGATTATTTTTTCCCACAGGGTTTTTGTTACTTGACAGAGTTTTGACGAGGCAATAAGACTGATACCAAATTCTATCTAAAACTCAGCACAAAGGAGAGTGTTGAAGGAAATTCTGTGTAGTGTGCAATCGTGTATATAGAATATGTATTAGGAGCATTCTATGTAAACTATCTATTATATGGACCCATTGGCCCATCTATGTAAACCCTAATATCTCCCTATTTATAGGCCTTTGATAATGAAACTATACACTTAATTCTCTCTCCAACATCACTCAAATTTTCTTATACGTTTTTTTACCTTTGAACAAATATAATACGGAGTCCTAGACATGTGTATTTGCGGAATTGTGGATGCATGTGTACTTAGACACGTATTTTTGTGTGGACACGTGCATTGCAATTTAGATACTATAGAGTATAGACTTACAGAGTACAAGTACTATATAGAGGCTAGCATGGTGGTGAAGTGGCATGGACACCACAAAAAAATTACACGTGACACAAAATTTGGCATGGATTTACCAATTTTCATGCCAAATAATTCGTGCCAAAGTGTTTTTGGCACGGATTTGACATTTCCCTATCAAAATCCTTGCACATAGTCAATCCCGTAGTTTTTTTGGAGTGGGATTTGCACTTGTCATGACAAATCATTCCACTTAATTCAATGTCAGAGTTCCGAGATGGACACGTGTGAGGCCACGTACTCCTGTTAATTTAGAGATTTTTTTCGTCAATATGTTAATTAAATATGTTAATCTTGATTAACTCTGTATATATATATTCCCGTACATGCGTCGGTAGCATCTTGCATATGAGTACGCGAAACGGGGAGCATGTTTAGTTCTTGCCGCAAGGAGAGAGGGGAGTCTACAAGAAGTAGTGAATCGGGCTCTACACATGGGATTCATGTGATTGAACTACGTTAGGGGTCTGACGATCGATGCCGTTAGAAATCGTTAGAGGAAGACGATGAACAGTAACTCCGATTTTTAAGTGTCCAGAAAATTATAAGAAAAATATCGGAAGGTGCGTCTCAACACCGCTAGGCCGTCTTTTTTGTTTCCTACCACCCTTGTCGTCAGAAAGTCCACCACAAAAGTGATATTAGCGAATTCATTTTAAAAAAATAATCTAAACACATCCGAAAAATCCAAAGACGAAGGTGGTTTGGAGGTCATCTTGCCGAGACGCACCTTGCAGTATTTTTCTTTTAATTTTTCTGAGTGGTTTTGAAAATTGGAGTTACTGTTCATGTCTTCATCAGACATTTTAACGGTGTGATCCTCTTGTGATAACGGAATTCAAACATATGAATCACTTTGATAAAAAATGAAACACACAACCATATCACGGGCTCAACCACATTACTTTTCCCAAATATTTTACACAGTGATGAGAATTCCAGCCCCGAATCCACTTTACATTGTTTTTATGTATGTCATCATTGTGCACGGGAAGAGGTAAAAAGGTGTAGCACAATATCAATAAGCTAAAGTATTGTTTATTCATTAATGTGTATATACAAATTTAAATATGTACTCCGTATATAATTAAGTCTACTAGTAAAATATATACAAAATGTATCAAATTTATTTTTTTCACATAACTGTCCATCCCATGCATGCATTTCGATCTTACTTTAGTTTGTTCTTGTATGACTTTGATTTGGTTGTGTTTGTCGATTGGTTTATGTACGTGCAGTTGATCATCTGATTAACAATGCTGGGATATCTTCAATTTTATTGTTTGAAGAGATCGAGGATCTCACTTCTCTTCGGCCCGTTATGGTGAGATTCATGGATTGATCGAACTTTTATTTCTTCAATTCCTAATCGGAATGTACGTAGCTATTGTTACTCGCCTAAGCAGTGGCGGAACCAGAACAAAAATTGAGGGGGCGAAAAAAAATCAAATCATCGAGTTGGAAAGATATATAATCTCTACTATATTCTTTTTTATGTATTTATATAGATTAATTTGATCTCAAATTGAATGCAGAAGAAATATTTTCATTTTCATGAAGTGATTCTTTATTTAGACCTATATACACAAGCGCACACATACACATACATATATATATACAATCACATATATTTCCATCTATATTTGTTTTCTAGTGTCCAAAAAAAACAATAGACTTTCTCTTAACACGCGAGTTTATTTCGATTTAAAATGCTTATCATTTTATTTTAAAGTTTTGTTTAAATTTCGATTTAATACGCTCGTTTTTAATATCAAGGTTTAAATAGAAATATAGCTAAACAAATAGAGGAAGATAAATTAAAACTCCCATACGGAGTATATGCAAGTTACTAACTTATCAAGAAAATAATAATTTTGTTTTATTTATGCAAATTTATTAAATAAATTTAATTATACACATATAATTAAAGTCGCATATTTCAAATATTAACAAGAAGTTTTGGCATATTTGTATTAAAGCAAAGAATAAATAGTTATGTTAAGTTAAAACTTTATAGTCATTGCACTAAACAGAAAATGTAAATAACATGTCAATATTCGAAAAAGTAAAAAAAGTTAAATATTATAAATTGGAAAAATAAAAATGCATAATAAAAGTAAAAGAAATGTAGTGCGATAGGAAAAAATTAAAGGGGAAAATAATTAAAATACCCCAAACTTTGAAGGGGTGTGATGGAGTATATGGCCCGGGAACACCCGGCCCACAGACTCCTACTACACCAATGAAGGCCCAACAGGCCCAGGAGGCCCACCAGGCCCAAATCACGGCGCCCAGAGTACCAAGCAGCCCGCAATACGCATCAGGGGTGCCCTCGGCCCCCTGGCCGAAGGCTCTAAACTCTCACAGAATGGGTTTTCCAGGCAAACTAAGAAACTGGGAGAAAACGGCGAAAACAGTAGCCCTCCGCACCTGGAGCCCTCGGCACTAAGAGCCCTCGGCTAGTCCTCTGCAGCCGCGGGCACCTCTCCCGACATGATATCCGCCTCACATGCGTACAGATCACCGTACCCTGTACAGACGTCACATCCAACAGCCGCATTAAATGAGGCCACATGCGGCTGCCAACGCCAACCAGTTGAGGTGACCCCTCGGCCAATAGGCGCTTGACACGTGTCCCTGCCCGGCATTTATTGCTACTATAAATAGCACCCCATTTGTAACCACGCTGAAAATGCTCCACATTTATAATACGCTCTCTCTCTCTACATTTACTTGCTCTGACTTCTCTCTAAGTTATTCCCAACAATAACCCTTCGGATATATACCCCCGGGTAGACTATCCATCATTTGGTGCTCTCGTTGAGAGGTCGAACAATCGAGTAAGAAACCCTCCCCCTTCGCCAAACACTAGCCCTCTACCAAAATGGTGAGAACAACACGTGCCAACTCAAAGAACGTAGAAGACAAGAACCTGGCCCTCGGCGACGTCAACGCCCCCGAAACCTCTCACAGGGCTCCCGAGGGCGGTGTCATCGTTGGGCTGGAACAGGCGGCTGTCGACCTACGCCTTCAGATCCAACAAAATGCCCCTGATGCCCGCCTCGGCATCGAGGCCAAGAAGAAAAACCGGAGCGATGACCAAGTCAGCCCTCCGGTTCTCACCATCGACGTGCAATCGGCGCTCTCCGCCTTCATCCCAACGCTCACTCAGAACCCGGGTGCCTTCGGCACCCTGGCTCCGGCTCACCCCCAGGTTGGGGAAAACATCATACTTCCCCCTCCGCCACACCCCTTCGGAAATCCCACCCCTCGGGTAAGGAACGACAAAGGGGTAGTGGCCCAGGATACATCCTCCCAGGAAGTACAGTCCCGGGACCGCCACAATGACAACAGGGAGAGGCCCCGCACTTCTGCCCTCAACCGGCTCGGAGGAGGGCCAGACCGCCGAGGGGTCCAAGACCGCCTCGGAGGAAAGGCACTCCAAAGGCCTCAGGAAAGTGGAGGGTATGTCTCGAGGGCAAACGAGGGGCGTCCCCCTCGGGACAAAGGCAAGGCACCCCTTCATGCCGATGATGCTCGCCACCAGATCAACCAGGCCCACTCGGCCCGGGTTCGTTCGCAGGGGGCGGAGACCCTCCCGAAGGATCCCCGGGACGAGATTATTGCGGCCCTCCAACGCCGGCTTGACGAAATGGAGTCCAACAAAGCTCACGCCACCACCTCCACCCCTCATTCAGACCTCAAATACGAGGCCATGATGGCCAAGATGGAGGAATTACAGAAGAAGGTGGCCGAGGGCTCCGGGGAACCCGTCATCCAGCTCCGGACCCGGACGCCATTTACCCCAAGGGTATTGGCGGCCCGGATCCCGGAAAAATACCGAGGGCAACACATACAGCCCTACAACAGGAAAACGGACCCCCAGGAACACTACAGCAAATACCAGAACAACATGATGATGGTAGGGGCGTCAGACAAATATTTGTGTCGTTGGTTCCTCTCCACCTTAGAGGGGGCGGCATACGAATGGTTCAACAGGCTGCCCGAGGGCTGCATTGATTCGTGGCAAGAACTCGCCCAGCGATTCTTGACACAATTTGCCGGGAGGCGTCGCACGAAAAAGCACTTCTCCCACCTCCTAACCATACACCAAAAGAGGGATGAGACCCTTCGGGACTTCCTGAAGCGTTGGAGGATGGAGGCCGACAAGGTCGACGGTGCTGATGACGGGACCCTCCTGGCCCTCCTACAAACCGTCCTCCGCACCGGCAACTTTTCAAGGAGCCTCATCATTGAACCCCCCCACGACTACATAAGGGCTTTGCAGCGGGGGGGCCGATATGCTGAGGCCGAGGAGGTGGAGAAGTATCACCAGCATCCGGACCAGCAGCCCCCGAGGGTTGACAACAAGCATAACCGAGGGCCGGGGGCTCCTCCAAATCACCCCAAGTCTTCAGGACCCTCTAATGACCGCCCTTGGCAAGGCCAAGCCAAGCCCGGGGGAGGTTATAAGAGCAACCCCAAGACTTGGGCACAGCCCATTCTCCTGGACCGCCCTCGGACACCATTGACGCACCCCGTCAGCATCATCCTTGATTTTGCCGAGGAGAGGGGCCTCGTTGAGCACGATTCCCGCGCGCCCCCGGAGGTACATGCTATCAACCCTCAGTTCCCATACTGTCGCTTCCATCGGCACCAGGGGCACAGAACCGATGACTTCCATCAGCTAAAGACGGCCATCGAGAGGTTAATACAAGCAGGACACCTGTCCCAATTTGTTCAGAGCCCTCGGCAGGAGGGACCTTCTCATCAGGGGCCTCCCCGAGGGCACCACACGAAGGTGAACGCTTGGGTGAACCCGAACACCATCCCCCTCGGCAAGAAGAGGGAGATCGGAAACTTGGAGGAAGAAGAGGAGGAGTACCCCCACTACCAGGAGAAAAAACGCCACATCCTCATGATCACCGGTGGCAATACAGGGGGCGATTCCACCAGCCAGCGAAAGAAGTGGGCTCAATCGCTTTACGTGGGGGAAGTCACTCATATGCCCCCGGTAAAGCGACTGAGGGAGGAACCCATCACCTTCACCAACGCGGATCTCCCTCCTACTTCTTCTCCTCACAGGGATGCCTTGGTGATTCGGACCGAAATAAACGACACCATTATTCACCGAACTTACATTGACACGGGCAGCTCCGTCAATGTAATGTACCTCAGCACCTTCAGAGAGCTGCATCTGGAGAGGGGGTCCCTTCGGCCCATTAAGACCCCTCTTGCCGGCTTCACCGGCGACACTATTGATTCCGAGGGGGTAATAACCCTCCCGGTGATCTTTGGCGACGGGCTCCATAGAGCCCAGCTCGAAGTGGAGTTCGTCGTCGTTAACATCGACTGCGCCCACAACATTATCCTCGGCCGGCCAGCCCTGGAGGACCTCGAGGCCATCATCTCCATGAGGCACCTCTGCCTCAAGTTCCCCGCCGAGGGGGGCATTGGCTACTCCCGGGGGAATCAGAAAATCGCCCACGCCTGCTATCTTCAAGTCACTAAGAAGGTAAGTAAGACGGAATTCCGTGTTGACACCATCACCGGAACCATCGACCAAGAAGAAAAAAGGCCGAGGGCTGAACCGGCCGAGGACGTAGAAGACTTTGCGCTCGATCCGGCCCAGCCGGAGAGAGTCGTGAAGATTGGAGCCCAGCTCCCTGAAGATCTGAAGACCGGTATCACCGACGCCCTCCGCGCCTACTCCACTGTCTTTGCATGGGGGCCGGAGGACATGCCGGGAATCAGCCGAAGGGTCATCACCCACCGCCTCTCGGTGGACCCCTCGGCAAAAGCAGTACAACAACGAAGAAGACCCCTCTCCGCCGAGAGGAGGGAATTTGTGAAGAAGGAAGTCGCCATGCTCCTCTCCATTAAGCACATCAAGGAGGTGAAATATCCCTCATGGCTAGCGAATGTAGTCCTCGCACAGAAGCCCCCTACCTTCCGCATGTGCGTGGACTACACCGATCTCAACAAAGCGTGCCCTATGGATCCATTCCCTCTACCAAATATTGATCAACTGGTGGATGAGACCGCAGGGTGTGAGATCATGTCCTTCCTCGATGCCTTCCGAGGGTATCACCAAATTTTCATGCACGAGGAAGACGCCGAAAAAACTGCCTTCATGACTCCCGAGGGCATCTTCTGCTACCTAGTAATGGCCTTCGGCCTAAAGAACTCGGGGGCCACCTACACCCGGATGGTGGCCCAGGTCTTTCAAGCCGTCCTAGGGCGCACCATGGAGGCCTATGTTGACGACATGATCGTCAAGAGCAAACAATCTTCCAGCCATGCTAATGACCTCCGGGAAATCTT